GATGATGCTCAGCAAGTCTCTTAACCTTTCAAAACGAGACATTCGTACTGGAACAGAAGTGTCAGCCCACAACACTCCAGAGTGCTGCTGAACCAAGTTAAAATCTAATTGGGAAGTATTTAACAAAAATATGATAAAACACAATATTACATTTTAAAACAATATGTAAGAATCGTTATGTGTGGGTTAGTGGTCCCCGGTTTGAATTTGGCACTGCTGAACTAAATGGTTCCTATGATCACTTTCAGCAGCTCTATATTCTACGTTCCTATGACTTTTAACTGGGGGTGGGGGAAGGGAGGGTGATGTTGGAGAAGACACTATATACAAAGATGTATATATAAAATCAGGTGACGGATGAGGACTCAATTTGGAAGTTGGGACGTCACCAGCCGTGTTGTCTTTACCGTTTTCAAAAGGAATCCCCGCTGTGAACATACCTGACAAGCGGTCCGGCCTGTGCTTGAAGGTATGCCGGGAGGGAGAGTTCACCACCGTTTGAAGCATCTTGTTTCACTTTTAGATAGATGTTACTGTTAATGTGAATAAATACAGCTATGCCACTGACTATCTATGTGACCTTGGGCAAGCCTCAACCTTTCTACCTCAGTTTCCTCATCTGTTAAATGAAGAGTTTGGACTAATTGGCCTTTGATCCCTTCCATATCTATGAAGACTTGAACCAGGATCTTCAACAAGGAAAAAGATTTTAAGGACCCTAAATGGTGAAAATAGATTTTAGGGGTGGAAAAACAAACATATAAAGGGCAAATACAGAACAAGCCCATAGAATAACTAGTCAGGTTTTGCGGGAACATGGAGTGTATAAGGTAAGGTAGAATGTCACGTGCATGTTAATGTTCCCTCAAATACCCAAACTTCGCAACTCATTACCTATTCCTTCATTCCACCTCAGCTCTCTATAGGAATGGTCAGGCTTCTGATCATCGTACCTGTGTTCCACTTTCATAATCTGTCTCTTCCTATGCCTTATCTTCTAAACCTATTCTTTGTTTCCCCACTGCCTCTAATTCCTCCACCACTTATTATTCTCCCAGACTGTGGTGCCTGTTCTGTTTAACTTCCTTCCCAGTCTCGCCTCACAGTAAACCATTTCAACTTTACCATTCTCATGTTTTCAGATTCCTTGTCCCCTTGTCCTGTTGACACTCATACCTTACCAGACCTCAACCCTGGATTACTCCTACCTCCTCTGCACCTATTCCCTAAGTGAACATAGCTAAGAAATTCGTGCAACTGAGTGATCTGGGATCCACAGCAAATTTATGTTATCCAATCATAAGTAGATCCTCACAGTAGCAAGACAATCCTTACACTTCTAACTTATTCTCTGTCGTACTTCCCAAAGTATCTATGCAATTATTAATCGCCAGGCACTGTGCTAAACTCTAGGATCTTTTCTCCTCAAGCCTCCCATACCACCAGCCCTTGATGATGAGGTGTCCCTCCTTCTCAACAAAAGCCAACCCTACTACATGTATCCTTGATCCCATAGCCTTGCCTCTACTCTTAGCTTCTCTCCATCTGTTGGTTCCTTCCCTGCTTCCTACAAACATGTCCGAGTCTCCCTGTCCTTAAAAACCAATCCCTCACTAGATCCTACTGCTGTTGCTAGCTATTATCCTATATCTTTGCTTCCCTTTTCAGTTAAGTTTCTTGAGAAAGCCATCTGTCCCTTCTTCAGTGCCACCACTTCCTCTCCTCTCACTGTACCCTCTACTCTCTGCCTTCTAACCTCATTACCCAACTGAAACTGCGCTTTCCGAAAATGCCAATAATCTCTTCATTACCCAATCTAATAAGTTTCTTAATACTCATCTTTCTGTATCTTGGCAGCATTAGACACTAATAAACACCCTCTCCTCCTGACTACTCTCTCTTGGGTTTTGTGAATATTTGATCCTAGAGGCAATAGAGAGTCACTATAATTTATTTATTGATCAGAGGAGTGACATAGATGAGGAAAATCACTTTTTCAGCTTCATGGTGGATGTCCTGGATTGGAGAAAGGAGCAAATAGGAAGCTTGCAATAGTCTAGGCCAGTAGTTCTCAAATTGTTGTCTAGGGACCCGTAAGGGTCCCCCAAACCCTTTCAAGGAGTCCATGAGGTCAAAGTTTTTCATAATTTTAAGACATTTTAGTTTTGAATATGATAAATATCAATCACATAAAAGTTTTTGGAGTGTCCTTAATAATTTGTAAAAGTGCAAAGGGGTCCAGAGACCAAAAAGTTTGAGAAACAATGCTCTAGTCAAAAAGTGAAGAGGGATTGAAGGGGCAGCTAGGTGGCAAACTAGATAGAGTACCAGCCCTGGGATTAGGAGGACCTGAGTTCAAATGTGGCCTCAGACACTTACTAGCTGTGTGACCCTAGGCAAGTCACTTAGCCCTGATTGTCTCCAAAAAAAAAAAAAAGAGAGAGAGAAAAGAGGACTTGAACTTAGGTAAGTAGAGAGATGGAGACCTCTTGCCAACAATTGGAGAGATTGACAAATGACAACATTTGATCTTACTGCCCTTCACACACATCACACCATCTCTCAACTCCATACTATTGCATTAGTAAATTACATAATTGGTATGTATTCCCTCTTAGAATACCTTGTTGCCTTCAAAACTCAGGGACATAATGGTCTTGAGAGAAGGTTGGTGAACCTAAGTGGCGATTAAGAAGGAATTGCCGAACCAGTAGGAAGAGAATCAGGAGGGCAGCTCTACAATTGGGGGGCGTGGGGCACGGGCTGCTAATTAGCAATGTCACAGACTAATGAAAACATGAAAGGCTACTGGATTTGGCAGTCAAGGCCATTTGTGAGTGAGGGACTTCCATAGAGTGGTGAGGAGAGAAGCCTGATAGCAGAGAGAATTGTGCTTGGAGCAGGTAGGGAGGAAGAGTCATTGGTGAATGTAGAGAACTCGTATTACAATTCTAGAAGTGAAAAAGAGACCAGATACCGGGTGATAGGTTGAGAGGGTGATAGGCTCAAAGGAAAGGTGTTCTTTATTTTTTTTTATGACAGGAGACTGGAGTATGTTTGTAGGCCACTAGGAAGGAGACAGTAGAAAGGGAGAAATCAAAGAACTATGGGAGTGGGGATTATTTTTTGTTTGTTTGATTTTTACTTATAATTTATTGTTATTGTTTAGTCTTTTTCAGTCACGTCCTATTCTTTGTAACTCCATTTGGGGTCTTGGCAAGGATACTGAAGTAGTTTGCCATTTCCTTCTCCAGCTTATTTTACAGATGAAGAAACTGAGACAAACGATTAAATGACTTGCCCAGGGTCACACAGCTATTAAGTGTCTGAGGCTGAATTTGAATTTATGTCTTCCTGACTCAAGGCCCAGCACACTATCCACTGAGCCATCTAGCTGCCTATTCATAATTTAACAAACATTAAGTAAAATTAGCATTTCCATAGA